GGCGAGCCAGTTTCTGGAAGTTCTGCCAGGCCTTGGGGCTTTGACCACCTGGAGGGAGACAGGAGCCTATAGCCTGCGGGAGCCCAGCGCAGTGGGGATCCCAAAGTCTGGAAGGGTTGGGAATTTGGCAAGGGACCTCCAGGGAACCCCTAGAGGCAGGGGCCCCCCACCATGGGTTGTCCTATCTGGGTCACAGCCCTTCCCCCGAAGGGCCTGGGACCCACCTCTGCCCTGGGTCCTGAGCCCACAGCACTATGGTCCCTCCGACTCAGCACCCACCCCCGCCCGCCGCCGCCAGTCATCGTCTCCCATCACTGGGCGCTCCCTCTGCCCACAGGTCCCTTCAGTCTACCACTGAGCCACAGGCTTTCATGTGAGGTAGGCCATGTCAGTCATTTTGACCCAGCCCCCATTCCACTCAGCTTTCTACAATGTCATCCTCTCAACACCCCCTTGAAGTCGGCAGAATGACTGTCCCCATTTGACAGATGAGAAATCAAGGCCACCAAGGGAGAATGACTTGCCCAAGGGCGCCCAGCTCCCCTGCGGGGGGTGGGGGGAAGCCGCCCCACAGCAGCCTCGTCTCTGATTAACGCTGCCTTCGGGGGCACTTGTGTGTGTGCAGCTATCTCACCCTGGCTCCGTTCTGTTGCTGACGTGTTCATTTGCACGTGACATTTATGACATCACAGACCCTAACCAAGGCCCATCCTGATAACCCTGAATCATCGAGAAAAGGATTCACGGGGTTTAAGCTTCAAATGGTTAAAACAGATGAAAAAGTTGTGTGGCTCAAAGGGACAGACCCTCAGGTTCCCAGCAGCCTGAGGCCTGCAGAGGGCTGTGGTTTCACGGTCCATGGAGCAGCGCAGTTGAGCTGTGGGGACGCTTCTGATCCTGCCCGGCCTTCTTTCACCCAGTCTCGAAGTTTCTCACCTAACATCCCCCGCTCCCTTGGGGCCTCCGGGAGCCTCCAGACTCCTCAGCCCCAGGTCTCACTAACCAGACTCAGAGCCAAGAGCCTCCCGTGTGGCGGCCAAGGGGTACACAGCACCCGCTCCTCCCGCAATGACGGCTTCGAGCGCCCAGGGAGGGGGTGTCTCGTGCCCCAACTGAGAGCAGAAACCAGCCAAGCCAGCCGCTGGCCACGCACATGAGGGCCTTGGAGTCTGAGGGCTCGGTGGGGAGGGCTGCCGTGCCCCGCCCTATCAGCTGTGTGACTGTGGGCAAGTCACAGAATCTCTGAGCCTCGGTCCCTCTTCTGTAAAAGGGGGGGAACAATAGCCCCCTTTTGCCGGGTGGCTGTGAGGAGAAGACAGTGCAAGTAAACTACCTGGCACCACGCCTGGTCCTGCAGCCCTCATTATACCCATTAAACACGTAAGCTAGTCCTCAGAAGAAAGGAAACACCGCCTGTCTCTTTATCAGCGTTTGTTTCCCAAGCACCCTAGGCGGCTTTTTGGCTCACAAACTCCCTACAGCCGACACCAAGCATTTTCTCTCCTATCCTACTGTCCCTCTGGGAGGTGGCCCATAGCTGGTTTGGTCTAAAGCTAGCTGCCCTAGGGAGCATGGGAGAGGGGGCAGGAGAAGAACTGGGGAACCCAGGGTTTTGCCACAGGAGGCAGGGCCCCCAAAGGGGCTGATGAGGAAACTCCCTGACTCCCTGGGGGCCCACAGAGGCGCTGGGCAGGGGCAGGGAGTGAGGAGAGCCACATCCCTGCACTGAGATCTGGTCTGGGAGTCTGCGAGTCTGGAGACCCAGGTTCAATTCCTGGCTCCCAAGCTGTGTGACTCGGGCCAGTTACTTAACCTCGCTGAGCCTCAGTTTCTTAGTCAGTAATTGAGACTAAAGACACCTGAGGCTGTCTGTGGCTATCTTTATCCTGATTTGCCACATGAGATAAAGGATTGGCCCACAGTGGGCGTTCAGTAAAAAGAGCGGCAGAAACTAAGTTGGGGGTCCAGGGTGCCATGGTCCTTCCCACACCATTTCTACAGTTAGATGAGGCCAGCAAGGCTCAGAGAGGTTTAGCGACTTGTCCGAGGTCAGATGGGATGTGCACATCATTGCCTTCCTGGGCGCTCACTCCTACTTGGGACCCTTGGTTATCAGCGTGGCCTAAGAACCGCCCCCCCCCACCCACCCACCCAGGGAGCCTTGAGCCTGTCTTCGTGCCTGGGAGGGTTTTCTCATCTCGGAATGGTAGTCCTGAAGACACAGGAAAAGACGTGTCTCCTATCTTCACTGACAGATGCATGAGGGTACAGAAGCGTTTCCGCAAAAATACCAACACAGTGAAGATGAGCCTCCCATTGATGAGCTGTCCAGGAGAACGCCCCATTGCTGGAGGGGTGCGAGCAGGCACTAAGCAACGTGGGATGGAAAGTTGGCCTTGGTGGCCTTTAAAAGAAAGCCACCCTCTGGGCTTCCCTGGTGGCGCAGTGGTTGAGAGTCCGCCTGCCAATGCAGGGG